CAAAAAAAAAAAAAAGAAAAAAAAAGATTATATTTTCTCGTAACATAAAACATGCCAAGAAAAAAATATAAATATAAATGGTGACAAATGGAGAATCTAGATGAAGGTACACAGGGTTCTTTGCACAGTTCTTGCAACTTTATCCTAACTTTGAAATCATTTCAAAATAAAGTTTTTAAAAATTATTTTGTCAAAAATAGTTTCTTATCCCCAAACTGCCCCACACAGCAAACCCATCTTAGAAAATGGCAGCTCTATCTTTCTGGTTGCTCAGGTCGAAATTCTCAAGAGTCCACCCTGACTCTTCTCTTTCACACACGTTCCAATCCACCCGCAGATCCTACCGGCTGCCCCTCGGAAATGGTTCCAGCACCCACCCCTCGGCCTCCCCGCTAGTTCGGATCAGCTTGACCCTTGCTGGGTCCTCACAGGTCCCCTGCTCAGGGACTCAGCCCCCTCCCTGCTATTTTCAACACAGCACCCAGAAGGATTCCGTCAAAACCCAAGCCAGGTCATCTCCTGCTCAGAACTCTCCGACACCCCACGTGGCCTACTGGGAGCCACGGAGGGGGTCCCCGCTGCTTCTCAGCCCCTCCGGCTCCCGCCCCTATCCTCCTGGCCTCCTGAGGCTGGCAACCCTGAGCCCTGGAGCCCTCATGGCAGGGTGCAGAATCGCATCTCCTGTCTGCCCAAATGTCACTGCCCAGGGCACCCCGCAGAAGGCTCCCCCGCCCAGGCCCAAGGCTGCAGAGCTGCTAGTTCATCGTGTTTCCCTCCACAAAACCAGTTCCAGCAGCCCCGTTCTGGCGGGCGGCTGCTGATGTGGACAGAGCGAGTCATGGGGCGTCGGGGTCCCTGGGCCCCCCTCACCTCCTCTGCCCCCCGCCCGCCGAGAGCCATTCCCCGCCAGAGGAAGCTGCGCTCCCACGGCCTGCGTGAGCCGGAGGCCTCTGGGGAAGCGGCCCTGGACGTTCTGCTTGCCTCGCTGGAGGGGAAGGGGCAGCCCAGAGGGAACCCCCACTCCCCCACCCCCATTGCCTGCACATCCATCACATCCCCTCCCTACAAGGACCTCGGTGCACCCCGAGCAGGCACAGCAAGGGAGGGGGGCTCATCCCAGAGCGCCCCCGCCTGCCAGCCCGTGGGCCGAGGCCAAATAAGGCCGAACGGCAGCTAGGGCCGCCCACCCCGCCCCGCGGCCCCGCCCTGCGCACATTCTTCTGCCTTGTAAGGCCGGGCAGCCGCACCCCGCCCCTGCCCCGAGTCCCGACCCGACGGCCGGCCCAAGTCCACGCATCCAGCGAGCCTGAGCGCCTTCTCCATACCAGGTGGGAGCCGGGGCCCGGGGGTCTTGAGGACGGGACTGATGGCCCAGGGCTGGAGATGAGAGGTGGCCTGGGCCCGACCCCGCTGTCATGGGGGCAGAGGCGGGCCCCACGGACCGGGATGTGGTAGGGTGTGGGGCTACGAGTTTGCTGGGGGCCGACAGGGACTCTGGCCAGAGGCCGGGCAGCAGGAAGACTGTTCTGGCCTCTGGGAAGCAGTGGTCCTGCGGCAAGGGAAGGACATTGTCCAGGGTCTGCCCCTTTGCTGAGGAGCTAGAGACGCCAGACCTCAGGGGAGCCGGGGGATGGGGTTGCGATTGCCAGCGTCCCGGACCCAGTGGAGCCATGTGTGTCACTGATGGAGAAACAGCTCTGTGGGACTCCATGCCCCCCAGAGCATCCATGTCCCCTCCCCATCTCCCATCCCCACACCCTGGGAGAGGAGAGGGAGACGAAGACCAGGGGCCCTCCCAACACAGCCCGTGCGGTATGTGTGGACCTGGGCTTCACCTCTCTGGGTCATCTTGCCTGTGACTGGGGAAGGTCTGCCAAGATCCCCGATGGACTCACCCCTGGGGGGCAGGACGAGGACTCTGCGCTGAGAGAACTCTATCCCTGCTCTTCCCAGCCCTCCAGCTGCTCTAAGGAGGAGCCTCAGATGAGGTGCACTCAAGAGGGAGGCATCTGGCCTGCCCAGCTCCAGGCACTAGAGGTCATGGGGGCACTGCTCTGTGCTGGCTTCAGCCCAGCCTTTGCTGTTATGGTGCGAATCTGTAAACTAGGATGGGGGACGTGGCATCTAGTCACAGCCAGACCAAGTATCAGTACTGATTCCTGGTGTCTAGGGCCCCTGAAGGGGAAAGCGATGGCCCCAGAGCTAAAGGCCCTGCCTATGCCTAACCCTCGCCCATGCCTGACCCTGGCCCCTCCACCAGGCCCAGAAGGTGCCTCTGGTCACGCAGAGCTCTTTGCCTCCGCTGCCACAGGCCCGCCTAAGGACAGGTGCTCCCTGTTTTGTTCGAGCCTTGAAGGCACCAGGGACCAAGTTTGTTCCCCACTGACACAAACCTAGCTCAGGAGTCCTGGCCTCCAGGTGGCCTCTTCCCCTCTCATAGGCACTCCACTCCCCTTCTGGGGCCTGTTTTTCTAAAACTGCACCATGGGGGGCACCCCCTCTCTGCCCACCACTTCCCACGATTGCTGGGGTAGACATAGTGGCCTTGTGCAAACCCTCAAGACCAGTGCTCCCAGCCACACCATGGCAAAGAGTGCAGACCAGGTGGCCACAAAGGCAGAGGGGCCCAGCTGGGATCAGACCCAGCTGTGGGTGGCCTGGCCATGCCTGCCTTAGAGCTTCACTGGACAAGTGTGGTGGGACAGTGATGGCCATCACAGCCTCTGTTGGCCGCAGTACACTGCCCCTCTGCACACAGCCTTCTGTGGCCACCACAAGTCAAAAGTTCCAGAGAACACTGGACTCAGGGAAGAACTGGGCCCATCCAAACCACAAGAGAGGAGGGGCCAACTTCTGGGGACAATGGTGCTCCCTTCCAGGTCATGGGAAAGAAGGGCTTCTATCTTTCTGAACCATGCAAGAAACACTGAGGGCTGGGTGTGTAGGTCCGTGGGACGTGGGCAGCCACTGTCTTGTGACTACAGGCAGTGATGGCCCTGGGGACCAGCTGGGGCTGGCGAGGATTCCAGTCCAGGGTTGAAGATCTCAAAGGCCAAGGACTGAGAATGACTTGAACAGAGTCATGGGATGAAGGCCTGGAAACAGCTCAAGTCACAGCCACACAGCCTGGGGTGAACAACAGACAGAGCAGGCTTCCCGGAGGCCCTGGACCCAGGGGCTTGGGCAGAGGGAAGAGGGGCCACAGTCCTGAGACTTCAGCCAGACCCACTGCCCCAGCCGAGGGAAGGAGGCACTGGGTCTTCAGGTGCATATCCCCCCAAGCCGTGACAAGTGTTCAGGGAAAGAATCCCAGGCCTGGCCTCAGTTTCCCCATCTGTACAGTGGAAATAGCAGACTGCCAAAGTTGGCTTCATATAGTAATTCATCAAACAAGCATCTATTAACCCCATTGTGGCCTGGGATTGGTATAAACTGGGGGATCTATGCTGGCCCATGAGGGAGAGAGATCTATTTAGATGTTTACTGTGGAAGCAAGGGTGAAGGGAATAGCTCCCCAAGGCGGGATCTCAAGAATGAGGCTGGAGAAGAAAGAGCACATGGGAGGAGGGACCACAGAGGAAAGTCTGGGAGTGTCCTGGGAACCACAGAGGTCAGCAGGGCAGGATCGCAGATCACAGGAGGGATGCCATGAGGGCTGTCAGAGAGGCCAGGAGGGACTCACACGGGGCCTTGAATGCCAGGATGAGAGGTCCAGACTTCCTCTGAGAGGCAGCAGGAAGCTTCAAGGGCTTCAAAGTGACAGATGTAATCAGAGTCTGTATGGGACAGAAGAGGCTGGCTGGAGGCTAAGAAGCCAGGTCTAAACAAGGGTGAAGAAGCTGGGGTTCTAAGCCTAAGCAAGCCTCATACCCCGATAAGCACTGGGGAGTCAGAACAAGGAGGGACCCAGGATCAGTCTATGACCACCCCCCCAGGGGGCTAGTCAGACTCCCTGAGGTGGACAGGCAGAGGGTTGACTGCCCAGAGCCTCCTAGAACCTCAGGTGGGCAGCGGAGGGATGGAGCGGGAGGGTGAGGAACGGCAGGAATGCAGGACTGCTAATGCAGCTCCTTCCGGTGGGGCCAGGGAACCTGGACAGCAGCCCCGGAGAGCCCTCACGGACTCCCACAAGTGGACCCACTTTGTCACTTGGAAAGAGAGAGGGATAGTGCAAATGCTATTAAGGATTAAAGAAGATAAAGCATGGTAATGGCTGGCACCAAGCCCAATCCTAAGTGTTTTACCCAAACAGTCACAGCCAAAAAAGCTGATTCCACGGCCGGCACTGATCCAGGGGCTCTCGGGTCAGTTCGTCCCTACTGCTCAGCACTCCCCGCAGGCCCCCAGTCCCAGATGAGGACTCTCAGGCTCAAAGAAGTAGAGGAAGCTTGTTCAGAATCACACAGCCCACATTTGTCTGCTTTTCTGAAGAACTGGGTGGTGGGAGCCCCAGATCCGTAGGCGGCCTTGAATGCCAGGCCCATGTGCTAAAAGCCAGTCTGGAGGAAGCAGGAAGATTCCCTGGCCCAGAGGCACAGGGTCACCCTGACTTCCACCCCTTCCTGCAGGGAAACCCCACCCACCTGAAGCCAAGATGTCCAGCAAGCGGGCCAAAGCCAAGACCACCAAGAAGCAGCCACAGCGGGCCACATCCAGTGTCTTCGCAATGTTTGACCAGTCCCAGATCCAGGAGTTTAAGGAGGCTTTCAACATGATCGACCAGAACCGTGATGGCTTCATTGACAAGGAGGACCTGCACGACATGCTGGCCTCGCTGGGTGAGCTGGTACAGGGACAAGTGAGATGGGGCGGGTGAGATGGGCCGGGGCTCAGGCATTTACAAGACACCTCCTGTGTAGTGAGACACATGGTGTCCATCTTAGAAAAGAGTTGCCATTACTTAGTTTGTTTAACAGGGAAACTGCGGCACAGAGCAGGTCAAGCACTGACCTGAGGTCCAGCACAGGGTCTGAACCTAGAGAGCCTGACTCCACAGCGGGCCTGTCTTAGGCAGATTTGTACACTGGGCTGCCAGGTATCATTTCATTTAAAGAAAAGGGGTCAGCATCTAAATAAAAGTGTGAACTGCAGGCTGTCCACTGCACAGACGGGAAACTGAAGCTGGGTTGCGGGGGCAGACCAGCTCCCCTCCTTTAGAGGTCACCCATCCCAGTGTTTCATAGCCTCTCTGGTCCCAGTGACTTCCCCAGGATCAGGACCTTAGAACTAAAAGGGTACAAAAGTCAAGTACCATGCTCTGTTGCAGATGGGGAAACACAGGCCCAGAGGTAAGGCCTCCAGAGACCATGCCCTAGGCCATGGGCCTGCCCCGACATCCCTCCCAAAGCGCCAGCCACTCTCAGCCCAGTTCCTGTGCACCCTTCATCCCGGGTGACAGCTTTCAGACCAGACACTGCCTGGGGGAGGGAGAGTCCAGGACCAGAGGACACAGCCCCATGACAGTCAAGCCTCGAGCTTTGGGGCCAGAGAGTCAGTCTCTAGTACAGTCCTGTGCACGTTTCTCTTCCTGTGAAAGGAGGCCATGGCCCTGATGTTCACCTACAAGGCATCAAGTGGGAGGACCAGGCAGCCCTGAGCGGGAGACCTGACAGCACGCTGCCCCTACCCTGAGCACCAAACCTTTCCCAGCTTCAGGCCAAGCTCGCTTGAAGGGTCCCTCCCCAAGGAGGTCACCTGGCAGGAAGTCAATTCCAGGGTTTTTACCTGGGGCCTTCCCAACTTCATGGAAGGACTCCTCTTGAGCCTCAGCCTCCCTGACCATCCCAGGAGAACACAACAGAGTGACTAAGGCTCAGGGACCTGAAAACTTCCTATTTCCAAGGCCGCACCCTGCACCCATGCCTCTGAACCCCTGAGACTTGATGACAGCCCTGGATGTCTACCCAGAAAAACATGGCTCGTGTTTGTAGCTCATATCAGTGGGTCTGCGGATGAGTCATGGCTTCATCTTCAAGTTAAAAACATGAGCAGCAAATTAATAATAATAAATTCTGCAGGTATTATCTTAAATCTCAAAGCAATCCTATTGAACAGATGCAATTATCATTCCTACTTTGCAAACAAGGAAACTGAGGCTCAGAGAGGTTAAGTACTTTACCCAACATCACACAGATACCCAGTAGTGGGGCTACAAGAGAAACCCAGCAGTTGGTTCCAGAGTCAGCAGGCCTATGCCAGGCATTGTTATGAGCCTTTTACAACTACTGTCTTATTCGTCTTCACAGTCCCCCTAAGAGATGGGGGAAACCAAGGTGCACAGCTGGGATCCAAACCCAGGCCTGTGTGACAGCAAAGCACTGTGTCTGGACTTTGGGGTTAGTCTGCCTGGGTTCAAATGCCAGGTCTACTCAAGTCCCCTCCTTACTTCCTGTCTGACCCTGGATAAGTCACCTGGCCTCTCTGTGCCTCAGCTTCTGTACCTGTGAAGTGGAGGTAAGAGTGCAGACCTCACAGGGTGGTAGAAGTTAAATGCAATAAGGCACGTGGTGCACCAGCCACAGTGATCAGTCTGCAGAGGGTCGTTTTTATCAAAGGTTAGTTGAGCACTGCCGGCTGCTGACATCCAGGCCACAGGAGGGAACGTGGAAGCAACCAGGGGCTCCCAGCCCCATTGCTGTGGCTGCCCTGGTGCCATGCTTTATAGTTCACAAAACTCACTACCTCCCGTCTCACACAGAGCCTTGAAGGGCAGGGGTGGACGGGGGTGGGAGTTGCCCCAGGACCACTGGCTGTAACACCCTACCCGCCACAGGGAAGAACCCGACAGACGAATACCTGGAGGGCATGATGAGCGAGGCCCCAGGGCCCATCAACTTCACCATGTTCCTCACCATGTTTGGGGAGAAGCTCAACGGCACCGACCC